CCGTCTCCTGATCGGTGCTTGCCATCGGGATTGGGTTTTCGTCGCTTGGCAACGACGTTGTAAAACAAACCAATTCACTTCGTGAACTCGGCGACCAGGTTACCTTTTTTTTTTCTACCTCTATTCTTTTTTTGATGTAACCATGATGGTGGTCGAGTAGATCATGTTGTGCGGGGTGGAGAACGCTCACTCCGCGCAAGGGCGATGATTGCACCACGTTGTGATAAATTGGTAAAGCACCCTCGAGGCAGTTACCCAATGCTTAAAAACTGTCTTTGGAAGTGAAAGCACCAGAAAATAAATTGAGTCATACGCAGCTGTCATCCGTACGCAAGGAAGTAAGCACAAGATGCCGAAAACCCTTAGCAGGATGCAGCGCACCCTCCATGCGACTCGCCGAATACCTCACTGCGCTTCGCGCTTGGTGATGTGAGAGCCTGGTCCGGTGAGAACCCGGCGTGCTCTGTCCCGCCTATGTAGGGATGCGTGGTCAATGGTCTAACGACTACGGCATGCACGACTATGAGTACACCCCCCCTCCCCCCCCCTCCCCCTGGTACGCCTCACCCAGGAGCTAGACAAGACGCAAGGGGGTGCCGCGATGCAGCTGGTGCTTGCGTCGAGGCCAACATCGCGCTGCCTTACCGTGAGTTACTAAACTTGTCATGTCGTATCCTTTTATTTGAAGATATATGTGCACACAATCACAGTCGCTGTCTCGCCGTGAGTTGCTAAACTTGTCGTGTCGTATCCTTTTATTTGAAGATATACACGCAGTCACAGAAGGACTATTATATATAACCTCAGTCAATCGAAGCTCGTTTTTTCCCTTCAAGTTCCTGTCTCGGCAGCGTATATGTTTTTGCCGCCGACCGACACATTTTGGGTGTCAAGAGCCGCCAGTGATGTAGCCATCGGTGATCTCCATGAAGAGACCGCGCACATTCGCACACGCGCATGCCCGTACGCCCATTCCACTCATGGCCAGCGTCTTGTTCACTTTCCGAATTTCTTTCCACCGGTACGCCGAATTCGCAAGCTGCAGCCTCAATCCACGGCAGCCCTGTCAGAGAACAGGGTACCCGTTATGGCTGTAGAAGCTATTAGAAGCTCGTTACCGCTTGAGTGTAGGTACTCTCATGTTTTCATTGGCCAACCGGCAAAACGCGATAGATCCCACGGACAGAACCACCTTCCGGCGACATTTTTTATTTTTTCTCCAGCTGACACCAACGTCTTATTCATTGGTCAGCCGGCTAGCGAGGTCGATGGTGTCTGTTGACGCACGCAAGGGGGGGCAGATCATGACCGTGCTTTCCAATTTTCCCGGCACCGAGAGTGACGTATTTTCAATTTCCAGCCGGTTACATAGCGCGGTCGATGCTAGATATAGAAACAAACACATACACTTCGATTATCCCGCTACACTGACTTGTTTTCATTGGTCAGCCGGCTACAAGCGCGGTCGATGCTAAATATAGAAACACACACGCGCACACGTTTGTTCAGGCGCTCTGAGACTGACGTCTTTTCATCGCCCGTCAGCGCGGTCCAGTGATGCTAAAAAACAACACACACACCGCTAATAATGCACAGGTGCCGCAGCTCTTCGCCGGAGGAAACTTCATCGGGGGTTGCTCCGATGCCCTGGTGCTCCACGCCCAGGGGAAGCTGGAACCCCTCTTAAGAGCGGCCGCCGGGGAGGCGTTGCAGGGCGGGGAGGCAGCGCTAGCGCCCCCTGTCGGGTCGGTGGCTGTGGAGGCTGCGGAACGGCGGAGAGGCAAGAAGATGGGCTGCGTCGAGAAGGCGGGGGAACCTCCGGTGAATAGAGGAGACCGACCCCCGTTGAATCGGTCTCTCTCGGCATGATGATGATGATGATGATGAGTTGGGCGTCGTCGATACTTCAAGCACACGTATCGTGAACTTGTTGTGTTATCTAATTTGTTTTTTCTTGTTGGCGGGCGAGCAGAGGCGGCGGTATGTGCGCGCTATTTATTGTCTTTTTGTATGAACCTTGCGTTCTTTATTCTTTGTTCGTTCTCGTTTTGGCAGGGGCAGGCAGTCCGGCAAGCGGGCGGCAGTGTGTGTCAGTGTTCTCGCGTGTGGCTACCAGTGCGGTTGTTTGTGACATTGCTGGTTATGTTGTTGCTGTCTTTTGTCGGTGTCGCAGAACCCGTCTGTTAGTCTCGATCGAGGCCTTACTTGCCGTTGGCGCTGTAGAAATTTTTGCTCTGGGCCCGTCTCCGTTTGTGCCTAAACATGGCAATGTTCTTGTCTTGCTTATATTTTTGAAGGGGGGCTCCCTCGCCAAGTTCAAGTGATGTGGTTCCTTCGGTTCAGCTCTCGATTCTTGTTGACATAGGGATAGAGCCTGTTTCGTTGTATGCCCTACAAAAAGAAATCAAGAAACGATAAGGAGGCGCGTTGGTACCGAAAATGATGTTATCGGGACCCCCCTTGGTTCGTCGGTTGCACGGCTGAAAACAGCCCGCTGGCGTAACTTCGCGGCTAGACGTCGGTCGCGGAACTCTTGCGACGGTCCCACAACGGCGGTGTATATAGCAGGGTTGTTTGAGTTGAGGTCTTGTATGCATGCCCGCTCCTTGACAAGAACTTCAGATCGATGTATGCATATCATGCTTGGGAAACCATGAAGGAAGCTGCTCCCTCCCCCACCACGAGCCATGGGAATGAGAGAGAGAGAAGACGGGAGGGTTTCGAAAACGTGGTAACCTTACCGCCGAGACTCGACGGAGAGTTGGGAAGGCGCGGGCACACAGGACTACGATCACAACCATCCATCGCCGATATTTCTGGTGTGTTGCAGATACATGCGCCTCCTTCGTAACATATGTGAGGCGCAGGATTCGCTGGTGGAGGAATCTAGCACGTCACTGTTTTCGATGTTGGTCCTCATTCGCATGACCAACCGCTCGTCAACGTGCCTCTGCGCTATACGTACACGCACTCTTTGCGCCGCTAAGACTGACGTGTCTACTTCAGACCCTTCAGCGAGGTCGATGTGAACACAGAGAATACGCACAATTTTATTCTGAATCCGGAACCTGAATGAACCCTGTCGTTCAACTTCCTCCGCTGCCGACCCCCTTGCTGGGCAAGCCCGACAATGGAAGAAAAAATCGTTTTTTTGTCCGCGCTGTCAGCAGTCAGACTGACGTTTGTTCACTGGTTAGTCGGTTCGCGCGGTCGTCGCTAGACAGAAACACACATATACGGTCGCCCCGGTGGTCTAGTGGTATCCTCGTAATCCGCTAGTCGCAGAGGTCGTGAGTTCGAATCCCCATGGGGTGAAAAGGTTACGAAATTTGCGGGTGAAAGCGAAATATAGCTAAAAAGCTCTCGTGAGTACCGAACTTCGACGTTAGCACCGTTGACGAGGAAAGGGACGGCTGGACCCTTCTCGCGATAAAAATAAAATTCAGCACGCACCGCAGGAGGAACGTGGGGCATGAAAAGAAATAAAAAGAAGAAAAAAGCCCTGGTGTTTACCCCCTCCTGTGTGACCGTGAATGGTTGGAGTTGTACGAAACAATACACTGAAAAGTGTTGTTCTCTACATACGCTGAAAAGTGTAGTACAAGTCTCACCACGAAAAATGGGGGGACTGTCGCCATAATTAATAGGACGAAAACACAACACACACACACACACGCACGCTGAACACTGACGTCTTTTCATTGGTCAGACGGTTAGACTGTTGGTGTTCCGAACCGAAGAGAAGCCCCAAATCACCGCCACTTCGATCTTGGTACACTTTTCCTGTCACACCGTCATTTTTTTCTCGCCACGTATGCAAACGCGTACCTATCGTGTTTGCCTGCTGACGTTCGGATGGACGACGCTACCCCGCACTTGGGCGCGCACAGCGCCTTTTATGTCGGCGTCAGATCCTCACTCGCAAAAAAAAAACAGACACTCTGTGTGACCCCGGCTGATACACTATGTCAAACGTAAACACCGAAAGGCGTGTAGGCTGGCGCCAGAATGGATGCGGCGGACGCACACAAACACAACAGTGCATGGTTTCATTTTCTCAGCACCCACTTCTACAACGCAAAATATTTGCGGTCAATTGTCTGACAAACCAAGACATGTTATACAACATGAGTACTCCTCCCCCCTCCATCTCCGTCTTGCCCCCCCGCTTGTTCCTCCTCTAGAGTGTAAAAAAAAAAAAGGTGCTCGAATACGAATAAATACAGGTTGATGCCCACTTTTTTTTCCTGTCTTTTGTTCCCGTCGCCTTACCAAGGACCCAAAAGTCTCATGAACATCTGCACAAGTCTTGGCCGCGAGAACAGAAGAGAGGAAAACATTTGTGGCACGCAGTTCGCTGATTGGTCAACGCACCTGCGGCGGAATTTCAAAAATCCCCCAAAAAAAGACAGGCACCGACCCAAGCTCCCTGGTTGACGGGTGGCGTCATCCACGGTCGAAAGGCCAGAATCCCGGGAAAATCGGTGGATGCATTGTGGGCTAACTTCTTCTATGTAGCACCAAAACGAGATTGGTCTATGACTGAAAGAAAACAAGAACACGAATATAATCACCAAGCACGGAACGGCGGCCTACACACCCCACACCCGAAATCGAATGAAATCGAATGTAAATGTCAATGTTCAGAAGCACCCAGACCCAGCAAGCAGGATCTAAACACACACGAACAGCTGCTCATCGTGTCATCCCGCGTTGCCTTGCGCAAGTACGCATGCTCCACGTGGACCCGCGCCGTCTCTCCCCCCCGCCCCACCCTCACGCGCGCGCGAGGGAGAAGAGAGAGAGAGAGAGAGAGGGACGCAGGCGCGGGGGGCGCATTGGCACTGCTATGTCCCCGTTGCTATCGACGCTCTGCCACCATCACTACCACCGCAGCTTGGGATAGGTCAAATCCCGACATGCACTACCTGGGTTGCCTTCGAAGCAGGACAAACAAACAAATAAAAAAACCAACCTAAAATACAACCTTGTTCGCACGTCTACCGTATCAGGCCTCCGCTAGCACCGTCCCCCACCGGGGGAAGGGGAGGCTCGTTCTCCCCACCGCTGTCGCCGCCGTCATCACCACTACCCCCACCGCGGCCAATGGAAGGCCATCCCGAGTTGCTGTTCTCGCCGCGCAGCAACCGTCGTAGCTCCTCGGCCCTCGCCTTGATGTCGGGGCGTTGCGTGTACTCCTTCGCCAGCGCTTTGAGCTCGTCCAGCTTCTCCACCCTTTTGATCGGATTTGATTGGTTGGGCCAGGTCGGCGTCCGAGTTTAGGTAATTTAGCACGCACCAAAGAGAGATGGGAGCACAGAAACCGGAGGATGAGGAGCGGTGCGGCATCACGGGCTGCTGAACGAAAGCGAAAGCTGCGCGGCAGAGGGGCGAGATGCAGCTCTGTCTCTAATATAGCGGGGGGCCGACGTTGATGTCATGATCGTTCGCTCCTGGTCAAACGTAAGTCCGCATTTTCAACACCACTCCACCGAAGGACATTACACAAACACCCTCAACAGACAAGAGACCAGGACCCGCCGCCGCGGTAAATCAGTACACCCGGCACCCACACGGCACGCCAGGTCGACAGATGCCGATGAGAAAGGGCGATGCCACTTGCACTTACACCAGTACGCACGCATGGCATTTTCGTCCCCATCTAATATGGGCGACGGACTACGTCTTTCGGGATACTTTCGCCACAATGCCTTGTTGGGTCGTCGTGTTTGTTCCGCTCCAAGGTGTCTTCCCAAAAAACAAAATTAGTGAATGAGAGCTCAATATCCGAAACACCCAAAGTTTAACGAAGTCCTCTCCATGCCACGACGAACGTGTTGTATCACGCATCAGACGATTCAGGCTCCTACTTTTTGATTATTTCTTCTGTCATTGAAAACAAACCTGGTCTCGTCGATGTCGAACGGCTGTATGGGGGCGTTGAAGCGGAAGTACTGGTCGCGAGGGAGGAAGGTCTTGAGCATCGAGTCCACGCCCTCCGTGTCCTGCGTTTTGCGGTTGAAGGATATTTCCTGACAAGGCATGCTGGTACTCTATTACCTAAAAGTACGCACCAGTTGTGTGAGTGTTAAGCCACGCCCTCTGTGCCCTCCGTTTCGTGATTTCAAAATCTTTCCTGTTGAAACAATATTGCATGTCAGTCGTGGCAAGGCTGGGCCATCCATTCGACGAGGAGCGTGTTTGATTGGACGTTGCGTTCTCAATTTGGGTTGTTGTTGGTGGTGGTTGGCGCCAGTAGAGACTAGTTCGGTGGTGTGTCTGCGTCCACACGTAACTCGCAGCAACCAGCGCAACCCCGTACCCGACAACGGCACCAACAAAGAAGCAGCGGCAGCAGCAGCAGCAGCAGCAGCAGCAGCAGCAGCAGCAGCAACAACAGCAACAGCAACAGTAGCAGCAGCGGTAGCAGCAGCGGTAGCAGCAGCAGAAGCACCAAAACACCACCAGCAGCAGCAACAACAACAAAAAACCCACGGTGGCGCTGTTGACGAGCTGGTTGAGGACGGTGCCCCAGCTCATGCCGGGTTCCTTCCGCGTCGGCACGTAGAACCCCGTCCCCACAGAGAGCACGCACTCGATCGGCACGTTGGGGTACAGGAGCTTAGCCTGCGCACAGCCACCGCCGGTAGCAACGATAAAGGGGGTGGGGGGCGCAGCACATTCTTACGTTTTCTCGGCCAGATGCCATACGTACGTGGCAGCAAAGGACGGAGGAAGGGCAAGGATTGCCTTCCTCCCTTCACCGCTAGACAGTGCAATCGGCCACAGAACCTGAGCGTTATTATGGCGGGGAGATGGTGTCGTCAATGACATCGCAACACCAAGGACTGTCCTTAATCGCATCTCATGCCGTGGCCATAGGCGGTTGTCGTTGTTGTTGTTGCTGATGTTGTCGTCGTTCTCGTTACTTTCCCCTCATGCCAACAACTGACTGTTCTGACCTCGATCGGTGTTGTTACTGTTGTCGTCCTCGTGGTTGCTTTGTCCCCACGCCAACAACTGCCTATTCTGACCTCACTCTGTGTTGTTGTTGTTGTTGTTGTTGTTGTTGTTGTTGTTGTTGTTGTTGTTGTTGTTGTTGTTGTTGTTGTTGTTGTTGTTGTTGTTGTTGTTGTTGTTGTTGTTGTTGTTGTTGTTGTTGTTGTTGTTGTTGTTGTTGTTGTTGTTGTTGTTGTTGTTGTTGTTGTTGTTGTTGTTGTTGCTGTTGTCGCTCTCGTTGTTGCTTTGCCCTCACGCCAAAATCTTACCTGTTCTGACCTCAATCAGCAGTCTCCATACGACAAACTTCACCAACCACTACTTGTACCGCGAGTTCAACCCTTGTAACGCTGTACGCGCAGGAAGGAACGCCCCCCGCTGTTTTCACACCTCGGTCAGCGCGATGGACGTCGGGTTGTTGGCGAGGAAGGCCCCGTCCGCGTACATCATATTCCCGTCAACCAGGGGGGTGAAGAACGACGGCGCCGCCGTGGTCGCTCGAACGCACTCACGCATCTTGCGCCTGTAGTCCCCCTGTGTCCGTCAGGGGTCACCAAACGTAGAACGGCGGTGGTCAATTTGGATACGTGTGTCTTGTCGCTTGATTTTTTTTTTTTTTTCGCACAAAAGTCCTGATTTCTTTTCGCAAAACGTAAACCTTCCGCCGTGCGACTGGATCGCAGGAACAAGTATGGAATTTACGGTTAGAGCAATGGATAATGGCGGAATGAACACGGTTCTAGATAAAACAGGAACAGGAATAAACCATGGTTATGGTCATGGATGATGGCGAAATTAACACGGTTCTAGATAGAACCGGTATAATTACGGATCTACCAACACAACTTAGCCAGACCGAAACAAAACTACGCCGCCGCCGGAAAAAAAAGAAAACCAAAAATGCAGGCACCCTTTAACCACACCTTGTAGGGCGGTTCCTGCTCCGGCCGGTAGCCGTAGTTCCTCCAGAGCATCATCTCCAACGGGTCGACGTTCATGATGGTCGAGCAGATCACCACCTTCGGGTTGTTGGGCAGGGTCATGGTGTCGATCATGCGACGGTCGCCCAGGATGTCTTCCAGGATCGCTTCCCAGTCGGTGCTGGAGTACTGGGCCTGAGGGGACCGACCACAGGGCGGTAGAGTGCAAGGAAGCGGTGCTTGGGGAACGGAATGGAAACATTGCGTGTTGCATGGAACGGGAAGGAAATGCTGTGTGTAATATGGAACGGAATGGAAACGTTACGCAATACATGGTACGGATTGTCAATAAAAATCGGAACGTGTTGCGGACCGGAACGGAATAGAAACGGAGACGTCGTACGATGCTTGGAACGGAAAATAAGTGAGATGTGACGCTCTGCGCTTTGCCATGGAACGGAGACATGGAATTAGACAGAATACGTGTGTGGTATGTATGGAATCAGACAAAATTTGTGGTGTGTATTGGATAGAGGAGTGAAGCAGAAAAAATATGCCATCTGGAACTAAGACACCAACCACCTCCGAGCGTGGCAAGGAACAACATTCCCACCTACATGATGGCGTTGATACAAATTGCGTTAAGCTGAAACGTATCAGGGTCTATCTACCATCGCGGTTCGAAGCCATCCCGGCCTTGGACAATCAGTCGCCCGGAGCATCTCCCTACACAACCACAAGTTCTTGTCGTTACCACCGACGAGGTGACCATCCGGTTTCCACACAGGGGAGAGTATTCCTATCCGCAGCGAGCTCTCATCGCTGCCGTGACGCGGGTGGATCAACCCTCCCTTTCCTTCTCCGACAAACGAGAACTATAATACTTGTACACGTGTTTTGTATTTCTGCAAGAGCTAGGGCTCTCTAGGCACGCCGCCGCGATTCCAAATCCACGAACAACCTGGACCACCAAAACCGCTTCGACGATGCTTGTAGAGCGGCGGGGAGGGCCAACCAAAACAGTCTACGCCCAGGATGCCGCAAAGTACGTTTAGCAAGACATGTCCATCACCAAAAATCCCCGACACTGGGCTTTCGGACACACAGCACCGCACGGCACAGTGACAGCAGGACACGCATCACCAATCACGATCCCCTTTCTTCCAAATCACGAACAACGACAAAAGGAGCCAAGCAAAGTCACACGCGGTCGTCTGCCCGCAGAAGAGCGACGTGACCGTCAATAACAACCAATCAAAATGCCAACAACCAAACCAAACCCGACCAAAACCCAGCCAGCCAATCAACGCCGCACCTGCTGCAGCACGAGCTTGGCATTGGCGAGGAGGTCCTTCTTGAAGATCTTCACGATCAGCGAATCGTACAAGGTCGTCGCGGAAGCCAGCGACTGCTTCTCCGACGCGAAGAGCATGGCAAGGATGCCCCCCGTCGAGGTACCGCAAATCACGTCGAACACCTTTCCAAGAAAAGAAGAAGACCATCAAGCGGAAATCCCGAGGGGGGGGGAGGGGCAGACATTGTACGAATTAGGCTCTCGGTAGCGAAGAGGTGGGGGCTATAGGTTGATCTTAGGATATCCCCCCGTATTGCCGGCTGCCTGCAGACACACGGACGGCAACAACACGATGCTTCAGAATAAGAACCAGGGACCGACCACAACGAACGCGGGGCAAAAGGCAAGACATCTCGACGACATAAAGAAACACAAAAAAAAAAAACGGAAAAAAAAAAAACGAAGGCACACAAACCATCGAAGGTGAAGAACTACTAAAGTGACTGCCGTACGCGTCAACAACGAATCGAAACACGACAACATTGCAGCAGTGCCAGATTTTCTTTTTTTTCTCTTTTTCTTTGACACGAAGGTAGGTCTGTTGGTCACCCACCTCGTGCACGTCCTTGTCCAAGCCCTTAAGCACCTCCCGCAGCAGCGCGATGGTCAGAACGCCGCGGGTTCCCCCCCCGTCCAATGACAATATGCGGAGCCCCTTCTGCCCGGGCTGGCGAGGCGTCCAGTGGTGGACGCCTAGCATGGACAGCAGCTGCCACGCGAGAAGGACAAGAAGGACGAAAAATATCGAGGTTTCTATTTTTAATTTTGTTTTCTTTGAAGGACAGTCGATAGTGACGAAGAGGAAGAAAAACAAAGAAAAATCAGAGACAACGAACGGAGCAGGGGAAAAGAGTGAGTGAGCAAGTGGCGAGCAAAGAGAAATCGAGAGAAACTTTCACAGAAAATACGAGAGGGTAGCAGTGTACAGCGCACTGCTGCGCAAAGGGGCAATGTACCAGGATATCCACGCCCTCACACCAGGTGCTTCGCTTCGACCGGACAAAATCGGGCTAACACCAAAGAAAGGGAGAAAAAAATAACGGAGTAGTCTTTGTGTGGTTTTAAACGCAACTTTTTTCATGCTGAAAGGCCGAAAAACGCTGTGTTTTCGACATTGTTTTTCGTTTATCTGAACGAGACACAAAAAAGTTACCCCAACGAGACACGCAGACGAGAAAAAAGAAGATAAGAACCCAGAAGCAACAACCAAAAACGAGCAAAACGCGTGAAGAACAAAGGCGGAACGGGCCCAAAACAGGTGAGGCGAAACCGAGCGCGAAACACACACACACACACACACACACACACACACACACATTTTGTGTTTCCCGCCGCACTGAGACTGACGTCTTTTCATTGGTCAGCCGATTAGCGCGGTCGATGCTAATAATAAAAGCACACACACACACACACACACACACACACACACAAAAAAAAAAAAGGAAAAAGATGGCCGATCAAAACACAACAACGCAACAAAGGCATCCAGGTCCGTGTGTGATGTACACCGCCCACCTTCGATGCCCCGGACACAGCGGCCTCCGCCACGGCAGCCTCCTTCCGCCGCTGCGCCGCGCCAACCCTCCCCACCCCGGCGCCATCTCCTCCTTCCCCGTCGCCCCCCCCGTCCCCCCCCCCGCCGCCGCCGCCGCCGCCCGCGAGGCCCCCCACGTTACCCAGAGACCTCCCGATCCTGCCCCGCAGGAGGCCCAGGGGTCCGATGCCCGGGTAAGCGATGGCACTCAGGGCGGGGACGAGGTTGGGAAGGTCCCTCACTCTCGCGAGAGCGTCTTCGCTGGCGAGGGATAGCTCCTGGAGGAGCTGGACCGCCTCCGCCTGAATTTTTTTTTGTTGGTGGTTGTTACAATAGTTCAAGATTGGACGAGCGAATGCAGTGTTGATGTGTTTTGGGGAGCGCAGGTAGACGCACTCTGGTGTTTTGCATGCCCTAGTTGGTAGACCACCGATCAGGAGACGGGGGG